GGTCTGTAGCGGCAGAAGATGATAATATAGTAATAGATACTATATATAATGCATTATTTAGTATAGACAAGCTAGAAGGCCTAGCGTGAGACGGCAACTGGCTAAAAGTCGCGTCAGACGCGTCTATTTTTACATATACAGCCCCTTCCGCTAGCTGTAGCCACTAAAATGTCAATAAATAACAAAATAGTCACTATAGCGACGCCTTTACTTTTACTATAAAGAAGAGGCCAGCTACACCGCTTCCTAATCCGGCCAAAAATCCAAGGTTTACTATGGATTCACCTTTAAATAAGGCTATTATAGAGGCACGTAACCTCCTAGTCAAAGCCGCAGCTGCCGAACCAGACCGCCTAAAATAGGACTAAATACTTAATTTAATTGAAATCTTCTACAAATACCTTAAAAAAGGCTCTATTAAGAAGGTTTCAGCTATTTTAGCTAATAAGATCATATATATGAAATCCGCTAGTTAAAAGCTAGAAGCCACTACCTAGCAAATTGCCCTAAAACCAACTACCCGCCTGCAAGTCAACCCGAAAGGGCCTAGCGCAGCTATCTCAGACCGCCTAAACGGGCCGAAAATCGCTCCCTAGCTGAAAACCACTTAAAATCGGATATATGCAGCCGCAGCCGAGTCCGCTAACCCCGATTTGGACTGGATTTTAGTCAATTCTACTAAAAAGTCCTTACTACTAAAGCTAGCTATAAAGAAGCCTCTTACCAGCCGCCGCGTGATCCTAATTAAGGATACTATAGTCTAAAACAATAATTTTCAGCCTCTTACTACCTATAATGCTCTAAATAGAGCTTTTACTAGCAAAGGAGTAAAAGACCCTATAGTGCTTTTAGTATCTAAGTCCCTTTAGGCCAATCTAGTAGTTATAACCATAGAGGCTTACTTAGCTAACTTCCTACTTGCTAAATCTAACATCTAGATGCATTTAATGCTAGGCTACACCGCCTAGAAAGATGTCACATGGCATAAAATCATCGCCCATAGGATCCCCACTTCTATTTTTAACCGTCTAGAAGGCATAGAGCTAGTTAAGGACGAAATACGGACTTTTAATAAGGGTCTAACCCCTTTAGGACAGCCATACTAGATCATATCAGCTGAAAATCGCTTAAAACAGACAGCTGGATCCGTGGCAATTGCATTTGCTACGCCTAAAGAGGCTAGCGCGGCCATCTGAAATAGGCTATATATAGCTGGCATTTCTATATAATACGAAAAACACTATATGACACGTCCTACCGCCTAATGCATTAGGTGTCAAGCCTATAGACACTTATCACACTACTGCCGCAAAGAGGCTAAGTGCTAGCTATACAGGGAAAAATATTAGACGAAACAGTATGCATGCTCTATATGCAATGCTAAGGGTAAGTGTAATCACCTAACATATAAATACGCCAATTGCAGAGGTCCATATACAGCTAGCTCCGCTCTATGTAAAGTCTATTAGAGCATCCACTTAAAGGCTCCCACGTCCTCTCTATAATAGACGCTAGCACTAAAATCCTCCAAGTGAATCTAAATACAGCCGCCTATAATACGGAATCCGCGCTACAAGTGGCAATTGAGCTAGATATAGACATTATACTAGTTTAAGAGCCTTTTATTATATGCGATGCAGATGAAATACAATTGATTTCCCACCCCTCATTCACCTAACTCTTCCTAAATAGGCCTAGCCTAGATATCACACCACGCATAATAGCTTATATTGCTAGGTCATACCGCCCTAGGGTCGTCCTAGCCTCGGATTCGCTAAACGATTCAGACTTCCAAGCCCTAGACGTTATAGATTAAGATCACGTGATTAATATTTATAATATTTACAATAAAAAGCACTAATTACCCGATTCGGACACCCATACGCTAGCCTGATGCCTATAGCAGCTCTTACCGCCTCTCGATTCGGTCTTTTGCGGGGACTTTAATGCCTATAACCCGTGGTGGGACCCCCTATATGAGGCATGTGACGAAGAAGGTAATACGCTAGCAGACTGGATCGACTACCACGATTTAGCCCTCTTAAATACCCCTGGTATTAGCACCTTCCATCGTCCGCATATAGCTAGGCCGATAAATATCGACCTTACGCTAGCGCATCGATCCATAGCCAATCACATTCAGGACTGGGCCATAGTGGACGATATAGGCTCTAATCACTTTAGCATCACATTCACTATTAAAGGTTCCCGAATAGGCCTAGCGGATCCACAAACCACCCGTTTCGACACAAAACGGGCAGATTGGGCCAAATTCGGGGAAAAACTTTTCTGCCAGCTATCACCGCTCTAAAATAAGCTACAGGCCTATAGCTACATTTTAAGCTCTAATTCAAGCTTAAAAAGCTTAGAACAAATCAACGCAAAACGCAGCTACAAAGCAACCCTAGACCGTCTAGACGATATGGCGGAACGCTATACTAGCGCCATTTTATGCGCTGCACATAATGCTATACCCCAAATCCGGTTAGCGCTACACGCTAAGCCTTAGTGGAACGATTCACTAAAATCACTTCGACGCGACATGAATCAGGCTAGAGAGGCCTCTAAGCAAGCGTTTTCCAGCCAATCAAATAAGCGCTATACTAGCGCCTACAATATATACTTCCAGGCCATTAAAACAGCGAAAAAGGATCACTAGAACCAGTTCTTGGAGAAAGAGGATTCTAAATCAATTTTCAAAGCCCTAGCCTATATAAAGTCAAGGCGGTTAGAGCTAGTCCCAAATCTAAAGCTTTCTGCCACCCAATTTGCAACTATATTCACCGCTAAATGCAACCTTTTCCGCTAGACGCTTTTCCCTCCACCTCCTGAAACAGCTAGCCCGAATTAGACGTTATACACCGCCTTAGAGCAATGGCAGTGGCCAAAGCTAGCACTAGACGAAGTGAAGCAAGCCTATTCTAGTGAAATCAAATCCACTAGCCCTAGCCCGGACTATATTACCTAGACTATTATTACCCATGCATATTCAGCATGCCCTTCCCAGATTTCACTCCTTTTTGAGACGCTAGTAAACACTAGCTATCATCTGAAGTGCTAGCGCTAAGCGAATTGCGCTATACTACGAAAAAACAATAAGCCAGACTATAAACAGCCTAGCGCGTATCGGCCGATTTCACTTCTAAATTGCCTAGGTAAAGTGAGTAAAAGGATCCTAGCTAAGCAACTAGCTTACTTAGCTGAAACTACACTAAATCTGCTGCATCCTAGCCAAATCGGTGGCCGACTTAAAAAGTCGGCTATAGACGCAGGCGCTATGCTAGCGGATTATGTCCATACAAATCGGCTACGAAACAAAATTACTAGTACGCTTATTTATTTATTTATTA